AGTGGGCCGCTCAACCGCGGGCGCACCCAGGCACCCCAATCTTAATTTAGAAGCTGCTAACTTGCAGGCCAAGGTCCACACCTGGTGGATGTACTATCTTGGTGTATACTGACACATTAACATTTTTTTTTTTTAAAGATTTTATTTATTTATTTGAGAGAGAGAGAATGAGAGACAGAGAGCATGAGAAGGAGGAAGGTCAGAGGGAGAAGCAGACTCCCTGCTGAGCAGGGAGCCCGATGCGGGACTTGATCCCGGGACTCCAGGATCATGACCTGAGCCGAAGGCAGTCGCTTAACCAACTGAGCCACCCAGGCGCCCCTGACACATTAACATTTTAAAAATGAAGAGGGAACCATTTCGAGGGCCTTCCATGCCAGGACTTAAATGTTTATCTATGAAAAAGCAGGAACCCACTGTAAAAGAACTACTATTTATGTAAAGACTTCTTCATAAGGGTAAGGAACTTACAAGGTCAAATTTAATCCTTACAACCTGAAGAGGTAAGCCTTGTTATCCTTATAATTTTTTTTAAGATTTTAGTTATTTGAGAGAGAAAGCAAGCACAGAGGGAGAGGGAGAAGCAGACTCCCCGCTGAGCAGAGAGCCCAACACGGGTCTCTATCCCAGGACCTTGAGATCATGACCGGAGCAGAAGGCAGATGCCCAACCAACTGAGCCACCCAGGTGCCCCTATCCTTATTTAATAAATAAGAAAAAAGAAACAAAGAAAGGCTAAATGACTCACTAAAGGTCAACAGCAGAGCAGAATTCAAATACAGGTCTGATTATAAAGCTCACACATTTAAAAAAAATTTTTATTTATTTATTTATTTGACAGCACAAGCAGGGGGAGCAGCTGAGTAGGGAGTCTGATGTGGGGCTCGATCCCAGGACCCCGGGATCATGACCTGAGCCGAAGGCAGACGCTTAACGACTGAGCCACCCAGGCGCCCCAAAAATTAACTAATTTTTAAAAAAATATTTATTAGAGAGAAAGAGAGAGCGAGCACGAGATGGGGGAGGGTCAGAGGGAGAAACAGACTCCCCACTGAGCAGGGAGCCTGACATAGGACTCAATCTTGGGACTTCAGGATCATGACCTGAGCTGAAGGCAGTTGCTTAACCAACTGAGCCACCCAGGTGCCCCACTTTTTTTTTTTTTTAAAGCAAGAGCACATGGAATGAGTGCAATGTTTATTTTTTTTTTAATTTTGGTTTTTTAAAAGATTTTATTTATTTATTTGTCAGAGAGAGAACGAGCAAGAGAGCAAAAGCAGGGGGAGGAGGAGAAGCAGAGGTAGAAGTAGACTCCCCACTCTGCAGGGAGCCCGATGCGGGACTCAATCCCAGGACCCTGGGATCATGACTTGAGCTGAAGGCAGACGCTTAACCGCCTGAACCACCCAGGCATCCTGAGGACAATGTTTAAAGGAAATTAAGGGGCGCCTGGGTGGCTCAGTCTTTAAGCGTCTACCTTCGGCTCAGGTCATGATCCCGGGGTCCTGGGATCGAGCCCCGCA